TGTGAAGCTGAGCTTTGTGGATGTGGCGGGCTCACAGGGAGTGAACAAGTCGGGATCAACTGACGAACAACTGAAGAAGGCACAATCAATTAACAAGTCGTTAAGCACTCAGGGAGATGTCATCTCCCCGCTCGCCACCAAAGAACTTCATATTCCGTATCGGAAGCACAAACTGATAATGTTGATGAGTGACACTCTCGGCGGGAACGCCAAGACCCTGATGTTTCTCAACATTTCGCTGGCGCAAATTAACTTAGAGAAGACTCAGGAGACCCATAGCTCCCAAGGCTATGTGGCCCGTGTTGGGTCAATAACGAACGAAGCAAGCCGTAACATCCAGTCAAAGGAGGTTTTGAAGCTGAAGAAGGCGATCAATTATTGGAAAGAGCAAGCTGGGAAGAAGGTTGAAGGAGATGACGATCTCGAACAAATCCAAGGTACTCGGCCCAGCAAAGACAAGCACGATAGAGTTTCGTGACTCTTCAGCTCACTGCATGTCATTGCGTGTTGACGCGGACTTAGCAAGCATGAATTCGGTGGGTGAGAATGCGACGAAGACAACCTTCGTGGAACGTGCTGTTTACACGCTGTGTTTGCTTCATGTGGTTTTCTGCATTGAGGTGAGTACAACGTGTGCATGTTCATATACGGCCAAACAAGCTCGGGAAAAACGTCGTTCACAATTTACGGCGGACAGGATCGTCCGAGCGTCACTCCTTGTGCCATCAAGGAGCTCTTCAGGTGCCTGAAGCGGGACAACAACAAGTTCAGCTTCAAAGATAACAAGGGGATGGTGGTTGTGGAGAATGCAACGTTCATAACTGTTCTGAATGCTCACGAACTTGAGTCAAGGGTTGCAAGAGGAATTGACATACGTCATGTCTCTAGAACGCAAATAAACGCGGAGAGCTCTCGCTCGCATCTTATCTTGTCCGTCGTCATCGAGAGCACAAATCTGCAAACACAAGCTCTTGTGAAGGGAAAGCTGAGCTTTGTGGATCTGGCGAGCTCAGAGCGAGTGAACAAGTCGGGATCAGCTGGCGAACAACTGAAGGAGGCACAGTCAATTAACAAGTCGTTAAGCGCTCTATGAGATGTCATCTTCGCGCTCGCCACGAAAGAACTGCATATTCCGTATCGAAACCACAAGCTGACAATGCTGATGAGTGACACTCTCGGCGGGAACGCCAAAACCGTGATGTTCGTCAACATTTCGCTGGCGGGGATTAACTTAGAGGAGACCCATAGCTCGCTAGGCTATGCGACGCGTGTCGAGTCGATAACGAACGAAGCAAGCCAAAACATCCAGTCGAAGGAGGTCTTGAAGCTGAAGAAGGCGATCACTTATTGAAAAGAGCGAGCTGGGAAGAAGTTTGAAGGAGATGACGATCTCGAAGAAATCCAAGATACTCGGCCCAGCAAAGACAAGGACGACGGAGTTTCGTGACTTTTCAAGTTGACAATACTGATGAATGAATCTCTCGGAGGGAATGCCAAGACCCTCATGTTTGTTAACATTTCGCCGGCAGGGAGTAACTTAGAGGAGACCCATAGCTCGCTAGGCTATGAGACGAGTGTCGCGTCGATAATGAACGAAGCAAGCCAAAACACCCAATCGAAGGAGGTCTTGAAGCTGAAGAAGGCGATCACTTATTGGAAAGAGCAAGCTGGGAAGAAGTTTGAAGGAGACAACGATCTCGAAGCAATCCAAGATACTCGGCGCAGCAAAGACAAGGACGACGGAGTTTCGAGACTCTTCAGCTCACTGCATGTCATTGCGTGTTGACGCTTACTTAGCAAGCACGAATTTGGTGGGTAAGAATAAGACGAAGACAACCTTCGTGGGACGTCCTGTGTACACACTGTGTTTGCTTCATGTGGTTTTCTGCAATGAGGTGAGTACAACGTCTTCATGTTCGTATACGGCCAAACGAGCTCGGGAAAGATGTTCACAATTTACGGCGGACAGGATCGTCCGGGCCTCACTCCTAGTGCCATCAAGGAGCTCTTCAGGTGCCTGAAGCGGGACAACAAGAAGTTCCGCCTCGCACTCAAGGTTTACATGCTTGAGCTGTATCAAGATACGTTAAAAGACCTGTTGCTCCCAAAAAATGCGAACCGCCAAAAGCAAGATATCAAGAAAGATTCCAAGGGGATGGTGGTTGTGGAGAATGCAACGTTCATAACTGATCTGAATGCTCAGGAGCTTGAGTCAAGGGTTGCAAGAGGAATTGACAAACGCCATGTCTCTGGAATGCAAATAAACGCGGAGAGCTCCCGGTCGCATCTTATCTTGTCCGTCGTCATCGGGAGAACAAATCTGCAAACACAAGCTCTTATGAAGGGAAAGTTGAGCTTTGTGGATATATCGGGCTTAGAGCGAGTGAACAAGTCGGGATCAGCTGGCAAACCACTGAAGGAGGCACAATCAATTAACAAGTCCTTAAGCGCTCTGGGAGATGTCATCTCCGCGCTCGCCACCAAAGAACTACATATTCTGTATCGAAACCACAAGCTGACAATGCTGATGAGTGACACTCTCGGCGGGAGCGCCAAGACCCTGATGTTTGTCAACATTTCGCTGGCGGAGATTAACTTAGAAGAGACCCATAGCTCGCTAGGCTATGCGACGCGTGTCGAGTCAATAACGAATGAAGCAAGCCGAAACATCCAGTCGAAGGAGGTCTTGAAGCTGAAGAAGGCAATCACTTATTGAAAAGAGGAAGTTGGGAAGAAGTTTGAAGGAGATGACCATCTCGAAGAAATCCAAGATACTCGGCCCAGCAAAGACAAGGACGACGGAGTTTTGCGACTCTTCAAGTTGACAATGCTGATGAATGAATCTCTTGGTGGGAATGCGAAGACCCTGATGTTTGTCAACATTTCGTCGGCGAAGAGTAACTTAGAGGAGACCCATAGCTCGCTAGGCTATGAGACGCGTGTCGGGTCGATATCGAACGAAGCAAGCCGAAACATCCAACTTGAATCGAAGGAGGTCTTGAAGCTGCGGAAGGCGATCACTTATTGGAAAGAGCAAGTTGGGAAGAAGTTTGAAGGAGACGACGATCTCGAAGAAATTTAAGATACTCGGCTTAGCAAAGACAAGGACGACAGAGTTTCCTGACTCTTCAGCTCCTTGCATGTTATTGCGTGTTGAGGCGGATTTAGCAAGCACGAATTCTGTGGGTGGGAATGCGACGAAGACAACCTTCATGGGACGTCCTGTGTACACGCTGTGTTTGCTTCATGTGGTTTTCTGCAATGAGGTGAGTACAACCTCTTCATGTTCGTATACGGCCAAACGAGCTCAGGAAAGACGTTCACAATTTACGGCGGACAGGATCGACCCGGACTCACTCGTGGTGCCATCAAGGAACTCTTCAGGTGCCTGAAGCGGGACAACAAGAAGTTCAGCTTCGCACTCAAGGTTTACATGCTTGAGCTGTATCAAGATACGCTAAAAGACCTGTTGCTCCCGAAAAATGCCAAGTGTCAAAAGCTGGATATCAAGAAAGATTCCAAAAGGACGGTGGTTGTGGAGAATGCAACGTTCATAACTGTTCTGAATGCTCAGGAGCTTCAGTGAAGGGCTGAAAGAGGAATTGACAAACGCCATGTCTCTGGAACGCAAATAAACGCGGAGAGCTCCCGGTCACATCTTCTCTTGTCCGTCGTCATCGAGAGCACAAATCTGCAAACACAAGCTCTTGTGAAGGGAAAGCTGAGCTTTGTGGATGTGGCGGGCTCAGAGCGAGTGAACAAGTCGGGATCAGCTCGCGAACAACTAAAGGAGGCACAGTCAATTAACAAGTTGTTAAGCGCTCTGGGAGATGTCATCTCCGCGCTCGCCACCAAAGACTGCATCTTCTGTATCGAAACCACAAGCTAGCAATGCGAATGAGTGACATTCTCGGCAGGAACGCCAAGACCCTGATGTTCGTCAACATTTCGCTGGCGCAGATTAACTTAGAGGAGACAAATAGCTCACTAGGCTATGCGACGCGTGTCTAGTCGATAACGAACGAAGCAAGCCAGAACATCTAGTCGAAGGAGGTCTTGAAGCTGAAGAAGGCGATCACTTATTGAAAAGAGAAGGCTGGGAAGAAGTTTGAAGGAGATGACGATCTTGAAGAAATCCAAGATACTCGGCCCAACAAAGACAAGGACGACAGAGTTTCGTGACTCTTCAAGCAGACAAAGTTGATGAGTGACTCTCTTGGCAGGAATGCCAAGTCCCTGATGTTTGTGAACATTTCGCCGCCGGAGAGTAACTTAGAGGTGACCCATAGTTTGCCAGGCTATGAGACGCGTGTCGGGTCGATAACGTACGAGGCAAGCCGAAACATCCAATCGAAGGAGGTCTTGAAGCTGAAGAAGGCGATCACTTATTGGAAAGAGCAATCTGGGAAGAAGTTTGAAGGAGGTGACGATCTCGAAGAAATCCAAGATACTCGGCCCAGCAAAGACAAGGACGGCGGAGTTTCGTGACTCTTGAGCTCACTGCATGTCATTGCGTGTTGACGCGGACTTAGCAAGCACGAATTCGGTAGGTGAATTCGGTGGGTGAGAACGCGACAAAGACAACCTTCGTTAGACGTGCTGTGTACACGCTGTGTTTGCTTCATGTGGTTTTCTGCATTGAGGTGAGTACAACGTCTCCATCTTCATATACGGCCAAACGAGCTCGGGAAAGACGTTCACAATTTACGACGGACAGGATCGACCGGGCCTCACTCCTAGTGCTATCAAGGAGCTCTTCAGGTGCCTGAAGCGGCACAACAACAAGTTCAGCTTCGCAGTCAAGGTTTACATGCTTGAGTTGTATCAAGATACGTTAAAAGACTTGTTGCTCCCGAAAAATAACAAGCGCCAAAAGCTGGATATCAAGAAAGATTCCAAGGGGATGATGGTTGTAGAGAATACAACGTTCATAACTGTTTTGAATGCTCAGGAGCTTGAGTCAAGGGTTGCAAGAGGAATTGACATACGTCATGTCTCTAAAACGCAAATAAACGCGGAGAGCTCTCGCTCGCATCTTATCTTGTCCGTCGTCATCGAGAGCACAAATCTGCAAACACAAGCTCTTGTGAAGGGAAAGCTGAGTTTTGTGGATCTGGCGAGCTCAGAGCGAGTGAACAAGTCGGGATCAGTTGGCGAACAATTGAAGGAGGCACAGTCATTTAACAAGTCGTTAAGCGCTCTATGAGATGTCATGTCCTCGCTCACTACCAAAGAACTGCATATTCCGTATCGAAACCACAAGTTGACAATGCTGATGAGTGACACTCTCGGCGGGAACGCCAAGACCCTGGTGTTTGTCAACATTTCGCTAGCGGAGATTAACTAAGAGGAGATCCATAGCTCCCAAGGCTATGCGACGCGTGAGGGGTCAATAACGAACGAAGCAAGCCGGAACATCCAGTCGAAGGAGGTCTTGACGCTGAAGAAGGCGATCACTTATTGGAAAGAGCAAGTTGGGAAGAAGGTTGAAGGAGATGACGATCTTGAATAAATCCAAGATAGTCGGTCCAGCAAAGACAAGGATGACGGAGTTTCGTGACTCTTTAGCTCACTGCATGTCATTGCCTGTTGATGCGGACTTAACAAGCACGAATTCGGTGGGTGAGAATGCGACGAAGACAACCTTCGTGGGACGTGTTGTGTACACACTGTGTTTGCTTCATGTGGTTTTCTACATTGTGGTGAGTACAATGTCTGCATCTTCGTATACAGCCAAACGAGCTCGAGAAAGACGTTCACAATTTACGGAGGACAGGATCGTCCGGGCCTCACTCCTGGTGCCATCAAGGAGCTCTTCACGTGCCTGAAGAGGGATAACAACGATTTCAGTTTCGCACTCAAGGTTTACATGCTTGAGTTGTATCAAGATACGTTAAAAGACCTATTGCTCCCGAAAAATGCCAAGCGCCAAAAGTTGGATATCAAGAAAGATTCCAAGGGGATGATGGTTGTGGAGTCTCAGAATGCAACGTTCATAACTGTTCTGAATGCTCAGAAGCTTGAGTCAAGGGTTGCAAGGGGAATTGAAAAACGCCACGTCTCTGGAACGTAAATAACCGCGGAGAGCTCCCGGTCGCATCTTATCTTGTCCTTAGTCATTGAGAGCACAAATCTGCAAACACAAGCTCTTGTGAAGGGAAAGCTGAGCTTTGTGGATCTGGCGGGCTCAGAGCGAGTGAACAAGTTGGGATCAGCTGGCAAACAACTGAAGGAGGCACAATCAATAATCAAGTCGTTAAGCGCTGTGGAGATGTCATCTCCGTGCTCGCCATCAAAGAACAGCCTATTCCGTATCGAAACCCAAAGTTGACAATGCTGATGAGTGACACTCTCGGCGGGAACGCCAAGACCCTGATGTTTGTTAACATTTCGCTGGCCGAGATTAACTTAGAGGAGACCCATAGCTCACTAGGCTATGGAACGCGTGTCGAGTCGATAACGAACAAAGCAAGCCTAAACATTCAGTCGAAGGAGGTCTTGAAGCTGAAGAAGGCGATCACTTATTGGAAAGAGCAAGTTGGGGAAAAGCATGAAGGAGATGACGATCTAGAAGAAATCCAAGATACTCGGCGCAGCAAAGACGAGGACGACGGAGTTTCGTAACTCTTCAAGCTGACAATGCTGATGAGTGACTCTCTCGGCGGGAATACTAAGACCTGGATGTTTGTCAACATTTCACCGGCGGAGAGTAACTTAGAGGAGACCCATAGCTCGCTAGGCTATGAGACGCGTGTCGGGTCGATAACGAACGAAGCAAGCCGAAACATCCAATCGAAGGAGGTCTTGAAGTTGAAGAAGGCAATCACTTATTGAAAAAAGCAAGCTGGAAAGAAATTTGAAGGAGATGACGTCTCAAGGAAATCCAAGATACTCGGCCCAGCAAAGACAAGAATGACGGAGTTTCGTTACTCATTAGCTCACTGCATGTCATTGCGTGTTGACATGGACTTAGCAAGCTCGAATTCGGTGGGTGAGAATGCGACGAAGACAACCTTCGTAGGACGTGTTGTGTACACGATGTGTTTGCTTCATGTGGTTTTCTGCATTGAGGTAAGTGCAACGTCTGCATCTTCTTATACGGCCAAACGACCTCGGGAAGGACGTTCAAAATTTACGATGGACAAGATCGTCCGGGCCTCACTCGTGGTGCCATCAAGGAGCTCTTCAGGTGCCTAAAGCGGAAGAACAACAAGTTCAGCTTCGCACTTAAGGTTTACATGCTTGAGCTGTATCAAGATACGTTAAAAAACATTTTGCTCCTGAAAAATGTCAAGCGCCAAAAACTTGATATCAAGAAAGATTCCAAAGGGATGGTGGTTGTGGAGAATGCAACGTTCATAAATATTATGAATGCTCAGGAGCTTGAGTCAAGGGTTGCAAGAGGAATTGACAAACGCCATGTCTCTAGAACTTAAATAAACGCGGAGAGCTCCCGGTCGTATCTTATTTTGGTGTCGTCATCGAGAGCACAAATCTCCAAACACAAGCTCTTGTGAAAGGAAACCTGAGCTTTGTGAATGTGGCGGGCTCAGAGCGACTGAACAAGTCGGGATCAGCTGGCAAACAACTGAAGGAGGCACAGTCAATTAACAAGTTGTTAAGCGCTCTGGGAGATGTCATCTCCTCGCTCGCCACCAAAGAACTGCATATTCCGTATCGAAACCACAAGCTGACAATGCTGATGAGTGACACTCTCTGCGGGAAGGCCAAGACCCTGATGTTTGTCGACATTTCGCTGGCGGAGATTAACTTAGAGGAGACCCATAGCTCGCTAGGCTATGCGACGCGTGTCGAGTTGATAACGAACGAAGCAAGCCGAAACATCCAGTCGAAGGAGGTCTTGAAGTTGAAGAAGGCGATCACTTACTAGAAAGAGCAAGCTGCGAAGAAGTTTGAAGGAGATGACGATCTCGAACAAATCCAAGATACTCGGCCCAGCAAAGACAAGGATGACGGAGTTTCGTGACTCTTCCAGCTGAAAATACTGATGAGTGACTTTCTCAGCCGGAATGCCAAGACCCTGATGTTTGTCAACATTTCGCCGGCGTAGAGTAACTTAGAGGACACCCATAGCTCGCTAGGCTATGAGACGCGTGTCGGGTTGATAACGAACGAAGCAAGGCTTAGCAATCTGAAACATCGAATCGAAGGAGGTCTTGAAGCTGAAGAAGGCGATCTCTTATTAGAAAGAGCAAGCAGGGAAGAAGGAGATGACGATCTCGAATAAATCCAAGATACTCAGCCCAGCAAAGACAAGGACGATGAAGTTTCGTGACTCTTTAGCTCAGTGCATGTCATTGCGTGATGACGCGAACTTAGCAAGCACGAATTCGGTGGGTGAGAATGCGACGAAGACAACCTTCGTGGGACGTGCTGTGTACACGTTGTGTTTGCTTCATGTGGTTTTCTGCATTGAGGTGAGTACAACGTCTGCATCTTCGTATACGGCCAAACGAGCTCGGGAAAGACGTTCACAATCTACGGCGGACAGGATCATCCAGGCCTCACTCCAGGTGCCATCAAGGAGCTCTTCAGGTACCTGAAGTGGGACAACAACAAGTTCAGCTTCGCACTCAAGGTTTACATGCTTGAGTTGTATCAAGATACGTTAAAAGATCTGTTGCTCTCGAAAAATGCCAAGCGCCAAAAGCTGGATATCAAGAAAGATTCCAAGGGGATGGTGGTTGTGGAGAATGCAAGTTCATAACTGTTCTGAATGCTTAGGAGCTTGTGTGAAAGGTTGCAAGAGGAAGTGACAAACGCCATGTCTCTGGAACGCAAATAAACGGGGAGAGTTCCCGGTCGCATCTTATCTTGTCCGTCGTCATCGAGAGCACAAATCTACAAACACAAGCTCTTGTGAAGGGAAAGCTGAGATTTGTGGATGTGGCGGGCTTAGAGCGGGTGACCAAGTAGGGATCAGTTGGCGAACAACTGAAGGAGGCACATTCAATTAACAAGTCGTTAAGCGCTCGGGGAGATGTCATCTCCGCGCTCGCCACCAAAGAACTGCATATTCCGTATAGAAACCAATGGCTGACAATGTTGATGAGTGACACTTTTGGCGGGAACGCCAAGACCCTTGTGTTTGTCAACATTTCACAAGTGCATATTAACTTAGAGGAGACCCATAGCTCCCAAGGCTATGCGACGCGTGTCGGGTCAATAACGAACGAGGCAAGCCGAAACATCCAATCGAAGGAGGGCTTAAGGCTGAAGAAGGCGATCACTTATTGGAAAGAGCAAGTTGGGAAGAAGGTTGAAGGAGATGACGATCCCGAACAAATCCAAGATACTCGGCCCAGCAAAGACAAGGACGACGAGTCTCGTGACTCTTCAACTCACTGCATGTCATTGAGTGTTTACGCGGATTTAGAAAGCACGAATTCGGTGGGTGAGAATGCGACGAAGACAACCTTCGTGGGACGTGATGTGTACACGCTGTGTTTGCTTAATGTGGTTTTCTGCATTGAGGTCAGTACAACGTTTGCGTGTTCGTATACCGCCAAACGAGCTCAGGAAATACGTTCACAATTTACGGCGGACAGGATCGTCCGGGCCTCACTCCTGGTGCCATCAAAGAGCTCTTTAGGTGCCTGAAGCGGGACAATAACAAATTTATTCGCACTGAAGGTTTACATGCTTGAGTTGTATCAAGATACGTTAAAAGACTTGTTGCTCTCGAAAAATGCCAAGCGCCAAAAGCTAGATATCAAGAAAGAATCCAAGGGGATGGTGGTTGTGGAGAATGCAACGTTTATAATTGTTCTGAATGCTCAGAAGCTTGAGTCAAGGGTTGCAAGAGGAATTGAAAACGCCATGTCTCTAGAATGCAAATAAACGTGGAGAGCTCCCGGTCGCATTTTATCTTGTCCGTTGTCATCGAGAGCAAAAATATGCAAACACAAGGTCTTGTGAAGGGAAAGTTGAGCTTTGTGGATCGGGCGGGCTCAGAGCGAGTGAACAAGTCGGGATCAGCAAGCGAACAACTGATGGAGGCACAGTCAATTAACAAGTGGTTAAGCGCACTGGGAGACGTCATCTCCTTGCTCGCCACCAAAGAACTGCATATTCCGTATCGAAACCACAAGTTGACAATGTTGATGAGTGACACTCTCGGCGGGAACGCCAAGACCCTGATGTTTGTCAACATTTCGCTCGCAGAGATTAACTTAGAGGAACCCGTAGCTCGCTAGGCTATGCGACGCGTGTCGAGTCGATAACGAATGAAGCAAGCCGAAACATCCAGTCGAAGGAGGTCTTGAAGCTGAAGAAGGCGGTCACTTATTGGAAAGAGCAAGCTGGGAAGAAGTTTGAAGGAGATGACGATCTCGAAGAAATCCAAGATACTCGGCCCAACAAAGACAAGGACGACGGAGTTTCGTGACTCTTCAAGCTGACAATGTTGATGAAGGACTCTCTCGGCGGGAATGCCAAGACCGTGATGTTTGTCAATATGTCGTCGACAGAGAGTAACTTAGAGGAGACCCATAGCTCGCTAGGCTATGAAACGCGTGCTGGGTCGATAACGAACGAAGCAAACCGAAACATCCAATCGAAGGAGGTTTTGAAGCTGAAGAAGGCGATCACTTATTGGAAAGAGCAAGCTGGGAAGAAGTTTGAAGGAGATGACGATCTCGAAGAAATCCAACATACTCGGCCGCAAAGACAAGGACGTTAGAGTTTCGTGACTCTTAAGCTCACTGCATGTCATTGCGTGTTGACGTGGACTCAGCAAACACGAATTTGGTGGGTGAGAATGCGACGAAGACAACCTTCGTGGGACGTGCTATGTGCACGTTGTGTTTGCTTCATGTGGTTTTCTGCATTGAGGTGACTACAACGTCTGCATGTTCGTATACGGCCAAACGACCTCGGGAAAGACGTTCACAATTTACGGCGGACAGGATCGTCCGGGCCTCACTCCAGGTGCCATCAAGTATCTCTTCAGGTGTCTGAAGCGGGACAATAACAAGTTCAGCTTCGCACTCAAAGTTTACATGCTTGAGCTGTATCAACATACGTTAAAAGACCTGTTGCTCCCGAAAAATGTCAATCGCCAAAAGCTGAATATTAAGAAAGATTCCAAGGAGATGTTGGTTGTGGAGAATGCAACGCTCATAACTGTTCAGAATGCTCAGGAGCTTGAGTCAAGGGTTCCAAGAGGAATTGACAAACGCCATGYCTCCAGAACGTAGATGAACGCGGAGAGCTCGCGGTCGCATCTATTCCTGTCCGTCGTCATCGAGAGCACAAATCTGCAACCGCAAGCTCTGGTGAAGAGAAAGCTGAGCTTTGTGGATCTGGGGGACTCAAAGCGAGTGAACAAGTCGGGATCAGTTGGCGAACAACTGAAGGAAGCACAGTCAATTAACAAGTCGTTCAGCGCTCTGGGAGATGTCATCTCCGCGTTCGCCATCGAAGAACCGCATATTCCGTATCGAAACCATAAGCCGACAATGCTGATGATTGACTCTCTCGGCGGGAACGCCAAGACCGTGATGTTTGTCAACATTTCGCTGGCGGAGAGTAACTTAGAGGAGACTTATAGCTCGCTAGGCCATGAGACGCGTGTCGGATCGATAAGGAAGTAAACAAGCCGGAACATCCAGTCGAAGGAGGTCTTGAAGCTAAAGAAAGCGATCACTTATTGGAAAGAGTAAGCTGGGAAGAAGTTTGAAGGAGATGACGATCTCGAAGAAATCCAAGATACTCGGCCCAGCAAAGACAAGGACGACGGAGTTTCGAGACTCTTTAGTTCACTGCATGTCATTGCGTGTTGACGCGAACTTGGCAAGCACGAATTCGGCGGGTGAGAATGCGACGAAGACAACCTCCGTGGGACGTGTTGTGTACACGTTGTTGCTTCATGTGGTTTTCTGCACTGAGGTGAGTGTCGTCCTTGCTTTGTGCGATGCAACAATGAATCAGTTTACTCTTTCTCTTTCTACTGATCTTCAGTATATGCCGCTGATTCAGCAGCACTGTCTTAAGTAAGGTGATCATTTCGTTAAATCCGGCATGAGCAGAAGGACCAGAAGAAGAGCTGACTTTTGTCCTTCACCACCCGGGATGCAGCTAAGTTTTATTGGTTTGGGCTCTGCCTAGTGAGCACTACGTATTGTTCAGTGCGGCATCAGTTATGATCGGTTTGTTGTCTATGTATAGGAGAATGGTGAGGTGTTTTCGTTGCAAGTGTTTGGACTAGTGAGTAGGTTGTGTGTAGGGAAAGAGTTTGGTGTTTCCATCGCAGGTGTTTCAAGCATGACGAGACGAACCAGAAGAAGAAGACTGACGTCTGTCATTCCGTCATCAACGGAATGCAGTTTCTTTATTGTTTGGGGTCTGTCATGGGAACACTGCACTTATTGCTTATTGCGGCGGCACTTAAGGAACAGTCGGTTGTCTGTGTATGGGAAGAAGGCTGAGGTGGTTCGATTGCAGGTGTCAGGAGCAAGAAGCACAATCAGTTGGTTGTCTGTACCACAACGATAAGGTTGTTTCCATCGCAGGTGTTTTCGGCATGACCAAAAGAACCACAAGAAGACGAAGAGGTGACTTCTGTCCCTTTTTCCTTCATCGCCAGAATGCAGTTTCTTTTTCATTGTTTGGGGTCGTTCACGTGAGCACTGCTTATTGTTTGGCGCAGGGTCAGCTAAGGAGCGGTCAATTGTCAATGGTCTGTGATTCCATTGCAGGGTGGACTGCCACAGACAAGTATGCAACAAGGAAACATGGGCATGCATCGCAGTCGTCATTAGAGAAAGGAAAAATACTTCTCTCTCAGACTGCTGGCGGATGTTTGATGAGGTAGACGGGCTCCGCGTGTGGGTGGGATGTGTAATGTCTCTTTCCTTGCAATGAAGATCTAATTGTTGTTGCTAAGGAAAACTGCTTCTCTCTCAGACTGTTGGCGGATGTCTGATGAGGTAGACGGGCTTTGAGTGTGGGTGGGATGTGTAATGTCTTTTTTCTTGCAATGAAGATGTAATTGTTGTTGGTGAGGAAAACTGCTTCTCTCAGACTGCTGACGGATGTATGATGAGGTTGACGGACTCTGCGTGTGGGTGGGATGTGTAATGTATCTTTCCTTGCAATGAAGATCTAATTGTTGTTGGTGCGAGAGGGATACTGTAACTTACTGGTAACAACGTGGCGAGCAGATGTAAGCTTCTGTTGGGCGTCTGTCGGTGGTTTACGGACAGGACCTACTGTACGGCGACTATAATGCTGTGGACAGCTAGTGTTGTGTCAGGGTCTTCGGGATTTTGATGAGTTAGTAGATGATGACGGTTCACTTATTCCTTTTTATCATCAGCTCGCGCTGATTACGTCCCTGCTCTTTAAAGACACCGCTCGTTGCTCCAACGGATGTAAATGGTCCGGTTTCAAAGAGGTTTTTAAAAGGTCCGTTTTTTTTCCCAATCTTTTCGACATGTGTCAGTGAAGAGTTTTCAACATGGGCCGTTCCCAACTCGAAACCTCGCGCCTGCGGCAGACCGAAACTCGAGACCACGAAAGCGAACTAGCTGTCCAAAGCATTATGATGGTCGTCGTAAAGTGGGTCCTGTCCCTAAACCACCGACCGGGGTCCAGCAAAAGCTCACATCTCCTCGCCACGTTGTTACCAGTAACCCTCTCTCACCAACAACAATTAGATCTTCATTGCAAGGAAAGAGACATTACACATCCAACCACACGCAAAGTCTGTCTACCTTATCAGACATCCGCCAGCAGTCTGAGAGAGAAACAAGTTGCCTCACCAACAACAATTACATTTTCATTGCAAGGAAAGAGACATTATACATCCCACCCACACGCAGAGCCCGTCTACCTCATCAGACATCCGCCAGCAGTCTAAGAGAGAAGTACTTTTTCATCCCACCCACATGCATAGCCCATCGACCTCATCAGACATCTGCCAACAGTCTGAGAGAGAAGTACTTTTCCTTTCTCTAATGATGACTGCGATGCATGTGGAAAAAGGAGAGAGCATGAAAGGGGACGGGCCGAGGTTTTTGAGAAGGTCCACAAGCCAAGAAATCCTCACTTGTTAGGAGGCTAGAGGCCCAAAAATAAGGCCCTTGCCGCCCTTCCCTTTCTTCTCCTTTGTTTCTTCCCCTCTACTCCCCTTGGGAGGTCTTGTGTCAACTAGACGCTTGCCGGTGATAAAGAACCGGACTGATGCTCCCAGAATAGATGGGCCTTTGCTGTTTTTTTTTTGTTTTTTTTTTTTGTAATAGCGAGTGAAAAAGTCGGTATCAGCGAGCGAACAACTGAAGGAGGCACAGGCAATTAACAAGTCGTTAAGCGCTCTGGGAGATATCATCTCCGCGCTCGCCACCGAAGGACCACATATTCCAGATCGAAACCACAAGCTCACAATGTTGATGAGTGACTCTCTCGGCGGGAACGCCAAGACCCTGATGTTGTCAATATTTCGCCGGCCGAGAGTAACTTATTGGAGACCCATAGCTCGCTAGGCTATGCGACGTGTGTCGGGTCGATAACGAACGGAGCAAGGCGGAACATCCAATCAAAGAAAATCTTGAAGCTGAAGAAGGCGATCATATATTGGAAAGAGCAAGTTGGGAAGAAGTTTGAAGGAGATGACGATCTCGAAGAAATCCAAGATACTCGGCCCAGCAAAGACAAGGACGACGGAGTTTCGTGACTCTTCAGCTCACTGCATGTCAATGCATGTTGATGCTGACTTGGCAAGCACGAATTCGGTGGGTGGGAATGCGACGAAGACAACCTTCGTTTGACGTCTTGTTTACACGCTGTGTTTGCATTATGTGGTTTTCTGCACTGAGGTGAGTACAACGTCTGCATCTTCGCATACGGCCAAACGCGTTCGGGAAAGACGTTCACAATTTACAGCGGACAGGATCGTCCGGGCCTCACTCCTCGTGCCATCAAGGAGCTCTTCAGGTGCCTTTAGCGGGACAGCAACAAGTTCAGCTTCGCACTCAAGGTTTGCATGCTTGGGCTGTATCAAGATACGTTGGAAGACTTGTTGCTCCCGAAAATCGCCAAGCGCCAAAAGTTGGATATCAAGAAAGATTCCAAGGGGATGGTGGTTGTGGAGAATGCAACGCTCATAACTGTTCAGAATGCTCAGGAGCTTGAGTCAAGGGCTCCAAGAGCAATTGACAAATGCCATGTCTCCAGAAGGTAGATGAATGCGGAAAGCTCGCGGTCGCATATTGTCCTGTTCGTCGTCATCGAGAGCACAAATCTACAAACGCAAGCTCTTGTGAAGAGAAATCTTAGCTTTGTGGATCTGGGGGACTCAGAGCGAGTGAATAATCCAGGATTAGCTGGCGAACAATTGAAGGAGGCACAATCAATTAACAAGTCGTTACGCGCTCTGGGAGATGTCATCTCCGCGCTCGCCACCGAAGAACCGCATATTCTGTATCGAAACCACAAGCTGACAATGTTGATGAGTGACTCTCTCGGCGGGAATGCCAAGACCGTGCTGTTTGTCAACATTTCGCCGGCGGAGAGTAACTTAGAGGAGACCCATAGCTCGCTAGGCTATGAGACGCGTGTCGGGTCGAAAACGAACGAAGCAAGCCGAAACATCCAATCGAAGGAGGTCTTGAAGCTGAAGAAGGCGATCACTTATTGGAAAGAGCAAGCTGGGAAGAAGTTTGAAAGAGATGACGATCTCGAAGAAATCCAAGATACTCGGCCCAACAAAGACAAGGACTACAGAGTTTCGTGACTCTTCAGCTCACTGCATGTCATTGCGTGTTGACGCGGACTTAGCAAGCACGAATTCGGTGAGTGAGAATGCGACGAAAACAACCTTCGTGGGATGTGTTGTGTAGACGCTGTGTTTGCTTCATGTGGTTTTCTGCATTGAGGTGAGTCCAACGTCTGCATTTTCGTATACGGCCAAATGAGCTCGGGAAAGACGTTCACAATTTACGGCGGACAAGATCGTTCTGGCCTCACTCCTGGTGCCATCAAAGAGCTCTTCAGGTGCTTGAAGCAGGACAACAACAAGTTTAGCTTCGCACTGAAGGTTTACATGCTTGAGATGTATCAAGATACGTTAAAAGACTTGTTGCTCCCGAAAAATGTCAAGCGCCAAAAGTTGGATATCAAGAAAGATTCCAAGGGGATGGTGGTTGTGGAGAATGCAACGTTCATAACTGTTCTGAATGCTCAGGAGCTTGAGTCAAGGGTTGCAAGAGGAATTGACAAACGTCATGTCTCTGGAACGCAAATAAATGCGAAGAGCTCCCGGTCGCATCTTATCTTGTCCTTCGTCATCGAGAGCACAAATCTGCAAACACAAGCTGTTGTGAAGGGAAAGCTGAGCTTTGTGGATCTAGCGGGCTCAGAGCGACTGAACAAGTCAGTATCAGTTGGCGAACAACTGAAGGAGACACACTTAATTAATAAGTCGTTAAGCGCTCTGGGAGATGTCATATCCGCGTTCTCCACCATAGAACTGCATATTCCATATCGAAACCACAAGCTGACAATGTTGATGAGTGACACTCTCGGCGAGAACGCGAAGACCCTGATGTTTGTCAACATTTCGCTGGCGGAGATTAACTTAGAGGAGACCCATGGCTCGCTAGGCTATGCGACGCGTGTTGGGTCGAGAACGAACGAAGCAAGCCGGAACATCTGATCGAAGGAGGTCTTGAAGCTGAAGAAGGCGATCACGTATTGGAAAGAGCAAGCTGGGAAGAAGTTTGAAGGAGATGACGATCTCGAAGAAATCCAAGATACTCGGCCGAACAAAGACAAGGACGACGGAGTTTCGTGATTCTTCAGCTCACTTCATGTCATTGCGTGTTGACGCGGACTTGGAAAGCACGAATTCGGTGCGTGAGAATGCGACGAAGACAACCTTCGTTGGACGTGCAGTGTACACACTGTGTTTGCTTTATGTGGTTTTCTTCAAAGAGGTGAGTACAACGTCTGCATCTTTGCATACGGCTAAACAGGCTCGGGAAAGGCGTTCACAATTTACAGCGGACAGGATCATTCGGGCCTAACTCCTCGTGCCATAAAGGAGCTCTTCAGGTGCCTAAAGCGGGAAAGCAACAAGTTCAGCTTCGCACTCAAGGTTTACATGCTTGGGCTGTATCAAGATGCGTTGCAAGATCTGTTGCTCCCGAAAAATGCCAAGCGCCAAAAGCTGGATATCAAGAAAGATTCCAAGGAGATGTTGGTTGTGGAGAATGCAACGCTCATAACTGTTCAGAATGCTCAGGAGCTTGAGTCAAGGGTTCCAAGAGGAAT